GTTCTTGGGCAAGACACTTTTCTCCCACAGTGCCTCTCTCCACCCAGGTGTATAAATGGGTGCGGGCGAATTTAAAGCTGGGGGTAACCCTGCGATGGACTAGCATCCCATCCAGGGGGGGGGGGGGGGGGGGGGGAGAAATACTCCTAGTCGCTTCATGCTACTGAGACCGGGATAAGCTCCGGCCTGATGAGCCACTTTACCTACGGGTTGTGTGCGGTTGTGTTCTTGAGGCCAGACACTTAACTCTCATAGTGCCGCTCTCCTCCAAAAAGTATAAATGAATGATGAGTGAATTTAATATGGGGGTGGAGGTAACACTGCCATAGACTAACGTCATATCCAGCGGGAGTGAATACATCCCTCTAGCCGCAATGAAGACCGGTATAAAACCCAGGTGGTATTTGATGAATGTTAGAAAAGCCAGCTGTGACTTATTTTTTGGCTTTAAAATCAGAATTGGGAATCGCCTGTCCATTCGTATCTAGATAACACATCTTCAGTGTAAACACAGAGGGCGGGAATGGCTGACTGTTTATTTTATTTGTATTGCCTTAGAAATGGAACAATCATCTTCTACGTTGGAATTCGTCTCATTATGGTGGAATCAAGTCAATCAATGTGGATCCTAAACTTGTCTGGCTTCCAGACATCGTGTTGTATAACAAGTTAGTACATCGCTTTATAATAACAAGATCACGAAACCTAGGAAGGCTATTTGGTTGACTATAACATGATGTTATTGAAAACAAATAAAAGGGTCCGTCACAATTGTTGAAACAGGTCAGCTTTATTAATTCCCCGGTGCAACCTAATCAATGTTGCAGACGACGGGAAAATCATGCCGCACGAAGAGGGACTCTGCAGAGAAGAGGCTTGAAGTCGTTGATAACAACTTTTTAAAATTTAGTTGTCAACAATCATAAAACAGCTTCTCCTTTTCAAACTAGCTTTGTTGGCCATAACAAACCCCAAAGTTTGCCACAAACGAGTACGTAAGAAACAATAACGGTAATCTGCAGTGAAGAAAACCAGTAGTACATTTTCAAATTGAAATCCAGGAACTAAAAGCTGGTTTTCGTTAGTGCATACATTACCATAAGCAGTAGCAATCACACGCATGCTCAGTAAGGTGCTGCGAAGTAGCGCCTTTTGTTAAGAAATTTTCCCAACAAGGGGGTGGTAATTATCAACATCTCATCTTGCCTTTGCTAATCCTTATACTAACGCGTTAATGAAAGAATATGATGAGGGTCGATAAATCACATATTTAGTCTTGGGAATTTCCTCCGTCGAAACTGTTTCACTGACGCTTGTGATGTTGTTTTTTCCAGTGCGAATACTGGAATAACAAGTGGTAACATGGACCAATTTAAGACCAGGGTAATACTTTCAAGCGATGGTACTAACACCTGGTGAGGTTAAAGCACTTTTAGTTTGTCAGACAGCTTGGTGTTCGAGTGGTTTTCATTTGAGTGTCGAAAAGTAATTGGTTTTGCATCAACTTCGCTACACGATTGGCTGAAAAAACTCGCGCCACTTTATTCATCCAATCAGAAGTAAATCCAGAACCAAACGTTCGCACTCGTTTTCCCGCGCTTCGCGTCAGCTACCTGTACTTACTTCTAGTTTTGATTGGTTCACTGAATTGTTTGTGTCCTTTGTGATTGACTAGAATGATTACTTTGATTACACTCAGTTGAAAACCCCTCTGATAATGACCAAGTATACACTGAAGTAATATATCAAACACGAAAGACAGTGTTTGACCACATTTCCAAACACCGAGAAGAGAGTTGAAAGTGCGACACATAGCGGAGTATTTTTGATGAGCTTCGAGGTGTTTGGAAATGTAGTGAAACACTGTCTTGAGTATATCTTCTCAATCGAAACTAAAACTAAAGAGAAAACAAAGAATTAAAGTCGTAAAAATCTAATTAAGATCAGATCTCTAAACATCATCACGGTCATGATTTCCTTTGTTTAAACTTGATGAATTATTAATGAGTTTGAGATGGTAAATTGAAACCTCGACGAATATTCTGCGAGAAAAAGTCAAATAGAATATGCGCTGAGATTCACTGGTTTTAGGGTCTTGTAGTATAATTTCCGGAGGTGAATATCAAGAACTGCAAAATATTGAGATAAAAAATGGAAAATTTTGGAAAGAGAATACGTGAAAGTGCTCGCGTAACTGCTTATTTTGTTTGTTTTTTCTGTTGCCATGTTATCAAATTTTGCATTTCCAGAATGTATATCTTTTATTTTTATTTATTTATTTATTTATTTATTTTTTTGTCATTTGGGGAGGAGAGTGGAAATCAGATTCACATCAATAAATTAAATCCTTTTTTGGCGAAGCTTGTTTGGTCAAGTAGGGGGAACATATTTTTAATTACGGGCCTCGACTGACACGCAACACGACACAAAAAAAAAGATCTGATTGAGTGTTTCATCGCTGGTTTCATTTTTTGGGGGATTATTAGTTATGTACATATTGTATTTTAGAGAAATTCAAATACGTGTCTTATGCGACCGTATCGCTTTTCCCGGCTGTAAAACCACAGCAAGTACATTCCTTAGGAAGGTAGGAATAACTTTGTGATTTCGCATTTTCTTATTGGTTATTTATTTGTTCGCAGGTATGCTCCAACAATTCTGCGGAGTCGCTGCGCCATCGATATCAAGTTCTTTCCATTTGATGACCAGAAATGTGATCTGCACTTCGGTTCATGGACATATGACGGACTCCGAGTGGACTTACTAAACGCTAGCACGTCGGTTGATCTGGCCTCTTATATGAAGAGCGGAGAGTTTCAAATGGTGGAAGCTCCCGTCAAAAGAATTATTGTTAAGTACAGGTGAGGATCGGTTCCATCTCCGCAGTCATCACTCAGTCATGAATGAGAAACTAATATGAATTAAGTCTAAGAAGTAAAAGAAAACTACAAGACTTGTCATCTATTATGCGGTGTCAGGGACCTTGCCAAGGACGACGCCTAACAAAAAATGGATTTATATTTAACCTATCTGAATCTGCACTGTACGTCAATCGGTCTTAAAAACTTGCTTACACTAAATATGTAATGCCAGTGATCAATTCCAAGAGAAATATGAAAGAGTTGCGGTCGTGGCCTCAGTTCTCCAAAATACGCAGAACTTCAGGTCATTTCTCGTTGTTGATCTGCAAAGGGCGGCTACGAAATCTAGAAAGATTTAAAACGCACGTGCACAGCTATTGGTCTGCTCATTAAACCTTTTATTGGTGACGTTTTCGTTGCCATCGTGGTTTGCTTTAAGCTTCCTAACATGTTAGAACTTAATTCACTGAATTAGCCATCTTACTGACAGTGCTGTAGTAAGCTAATAGATGCAGCCCAGAAAAATACAGTTAAAATGTTCTCGCCCCAGAGGACCCGGGCGAAGGTAAAACATAGCGGTATACCGACATAAGCTTCGGTCGAGCCTTAATACTTAACGCACTAAATTGATCAGTACTACATATAAATAGGGTAATCTCTTAGACTGCCTGTTTTGTGCTTCTCTACTCAGTTGCTGCCCAGAGCCTTATCCGAATGTGATTTACACACTGCACATCAGAAGAAAGGTACTGTTCTACTTCAACAATCTGATCGTTCCCTGTTTTCTCATCACGGCTTTCGCACTGCTGACCTTTGTTTTACCGCCTAACACGGGAGAGAGAGTAACGCTTGTGATCACCACACTGCTAGCCATGACTGTTTTCATGCTTATGATCGCTGAGAACACACCGACAACCTCTGACGTCACTCCCTTGATCGGTAAATTCTTCGTAGCCTCTATGGTGGAAATAGGACTGGCACTGATCGCGACTTGTTTCGTTCTTAACATCTACGAAGCCACAGGACCGAGCTCCGAAGTTCCACAGTGGGTGCGCGTTATACTAATCGATATCTTAGCGCCGATTCTTCGTGTAACCCGACCTAAGGAAAAGCCACAGCGAAGATTTAACCCAACCAACATCCACTCGTATAGCCCAATGTTACCCGAACACAACGGAAACAATTTCGAACTGGACGGAAGTCCAAAGGATGTCCTGGTCATCGCGCCGAAGGTCGGCGATAAGGTGCTAACGTCCCGAGACTTCATTAACTCTGTGAATGACAACAACATCCGACATAGGGTACCTTCTTCGCAAGACAAGCTTTTGGAAGGTATCAATGTGCTCACTGAAAGAGCAAAAGAACAGGAAAAAGAAGAAGAAGTGAAGGAGGAGTGGGAATCAGTCGCTAAAGTTATAGACAGGTTCTTTCTGTTGCTTTTCATTGCAACTGTGGCCATATCGACAGCGCTGATTTTCTTACAGCGACCGAGCTATGCCACCATGTAAATGAACTGGGTCCAAGAGTATTCTAAGAGTTTGGGACTGGTGCCCATTTTTCCTCTGTGTGCGAGGAGGCTTGGCTGCATGTCTTTAGTGAAATTGCGAGTGCCTAAGAGATGCTATTGGCAAAGTCACATTGGTTGAGAAGGTTTTCTGTGGTTGGTGAAGAATAAGAAACCTTGGAGAATTACATAAAGAATGAAACAGCTTCACAACGGAATATTAGAAATTGAGCGACCATATTTAGAGTATTGGAGATTTATACGGCGAAATTATTTACGAAAAACGATAGAATTGTATACAACGTAAACCATGAGTGAACCGAGTCCTATTACAGTTATTTGACATAGAGTGATTATCCAGTGTAACGAGAGCAGATATAACCTGATTAATAGTGAGAATTAAGACTTAATTAGCAAATGTTGTTTCGAAATCGTTAGGTTGCAATTTTGTTGGTATAGGTCATATAGCATTGTATTTTAATATCGAGCCTTTCAGAATTTACTGAGGGGTCCGACAAATTTTTCGGCTAGAAGTGTTGAGATTGTTAATTAATGTCCTGTACTTTTGTCTTGTGTAATTTCAATTTTGGTTTCAAATTAACTTAGACAAGAAATCATTGCAGAACAAGACAATCTGGTGTTTACAAAGATAAACTAAAAAAACCACCACAAGCTGTTTAAACTTTTAATTTAAAGAAATTCCAATAAAGAGCAGTAAAGTCAGTGACACAATTTGACTTATACTGTTTTACATGTTTAAAAGCAAAAAGTATATATCTCTCACGATATTGGCTTTAATGAGTACATACCTTACTTTGAGTTCTTTTCGGACATACACATTAAAAAAAAAACTCAATTTTATTAGTTATTAACCAAACCGTAATTCGGTTTATCCAAAAACAAAGCGAAATTTATACCAAAAAGGTTGTTTAACAAAAGACTCCCAGCACAGTTATAGAAATTTAATGCCTATTCTAGCGGGGTTTGCCCGCACTAAAGAAAAAGCAAATCTGGACAATTAAAAGCTTGCGAATATATAAGTGTAGATATGACTTTATCTTAGCGAATGTCCAAAAGTGACCCAGAACTATACGTGTCCTAGTGATTTGTCCAGAAAACCCAAGGTGATTTTAAAATCTGCAGAGTATATGAAAACAACGCACTTCTGGTTTGTAGTGCTGAAAACTCCTTTTAAACCCAACGGCAAGACGGCTGGTCCGTTGTAAACTGTCTAGGGTTCAGATTTGTCCTGTACATGGACACAAGTTGAAGCTTATGGTGCGAGTGCTCTTGGTTTAAAAGCAATGTTGAAGAAGACTCCAGCGTTGCTCGCGTTTGCTTTTTTTGCTTTTGTTTTACCCCCCAAGATGTTAAATAAAATGAAAACTGCACGGTGTTGCTGCTAGTAAACGACAAGATTTATTTTCCTTTTTGGTGTACTCAAGAAGAGTGTTCTGAAGTGAGGGGAGCCTATTCGTCAAGAATCAGACTTTTTCAGAACAGTGCTTCATGTTTCTTAAGTCCTTGTATTTGGTTTATTGGTATTTATTTTGTTTTTTTTTTTTGTTTTTTGGCATTTTCTGCTTTAATGTTATTCTGACACTTCCTTTCTTGGAAGAAACTTTTCTACATCCCTTCAAACCTGATTAAACAAAACACGACAGAATTCCTTTGGGAATTCGGCAGTTACTGTAAAGTTCGTTTTGCAAAAGAACCCCTCTACAGATTAAGAAGGCTTGTGCGGATCAGAACTTCTGAATACAAACTGCTGCCAATATAAACACATATAATATAGCTTAATTCTTTAATTCTCGTCACGTGTTTAAGTTATTTACTGTTCTGACGACAGAAAGCAGAGTTAGTAACATAGAATGTGACATTTCAAATATCATTAGCTGACATTCACGCAGATAAGATTGTAACACAGAGTTCAAAAGATTATAATTAAAAACAATAGTTGATTTGAATCATTGTTTGGATAGTTTTCCCTTGAACTGCCTCGCTCGATATAATTACTCTGTTTGCTATGAGATCACTTTGAAATACTGAGTGTTACTGTTGCCACTTTAATCTAGGTAACGCTAAGGCCTGGTTCACGCTAGCGACATAGCGACAAAATGACATAAGGGTACAATCACTTATGTCGGTAACGTGAACATCGACATAACGAAATACGGAAAAGATCAGTGTTTTTTCCTTATGCTGTTAAGTTCATGCTGTTATGCGCTGTGTTATGTTGCTATTATGTCATTATGTCAGAATGTTCATACTGCAAACATAACGACAGGACGTCTTTCTTATTTCCTCTATGTCTATCTTGTTATGTCGCCAGTGTGAACTAGGCTCAATAAGCGCTTCATCTTGGAACTAACAAAAATAGCCATGCAACGTACGCGTTGAAGAAAACATACATTGAGAGTTGGCGAGTGCCATGGAAGCAAGAAAGAGCAGACAACTCCACAGCGTATTTCATTTTTTTATTATTATTACAAATTTTTTCAAAAATAAAATTCACTCAGAAGTCCTTCGCCCCTCGTTCTGCTGTTCTCGAGCTTTTCCCTCGTTACCAAGAGCTCTCCTGTTGAGTTGGAGCAGTTCATTCGGTGCCTTAAAATACAGAAGATGGTATCAAATTTTAAAAGCTTGTTTTTAGCAACATTCACTTCCAACCTCTAAGGATCAGATTCTAAATGGGCGAAGAGAAGATCAAACGATCAATGCGATCAAACTTTCATTCGCGTTGAGTTTACCGATGACCTCAACTTTGAATTCTCACGTCCAATTCTCGCCCCTCAGTCAACGAGTAACATGTACCTGTGCTTTGGAGAGGTGTCCAAACCGATAGCCATGAATTAGGCCTAGTTCACTCTCTTGTTCTTGTCGTTACATCGATGTGCTATACACTTATGTCATAAGAGTGAGCCAGGCTTAAACTGAAAGTCACAAGCTGATGCGCGATCTTCATGGTTGTTTTTTCGAACGCTTGTCAGTTATAATAACAGGTGTAATTTTTTGGTAATCTTTTGGAGGTGATCGCATGAAAATTCAGAGGTGCCAACTGAAGTCTTATAAGTGTAACTGGTTTTGATCTAAGCTGGTTGAAACTGAATTTTTTAACACCATTTTCAGTTGGTTGAACTGAAGATCTGAAAGGAGACGGTGAATTCCCGCTTTATCTTTGCTATCGGCGGTTTCGAAACCTAGCCTCGCTGTTGAGTAATTGCACCTTGTCGCCACAAACTGTAAAAAGTTGTTTTACAGTAAATTCAAATACATTATTATGCAAGTCTTACCAATGGAAATGTTGCTCGCAAGCCAGAGCGTTTGGAATCGCTTTCAAGCCAGTCCTAGACCTGAAATCACAGACAAAAGGGAGAATTTCCATGAAGACCCTACGATTTAACCTTATTTAAACTTTCCTAGAGACCGTGTTTGTTTAGTAGTCGTTCTCTTAATATTCTAATCCTTTTTTTTTCCTCTGAGCAAGTCATCCCGAATCCCTCAAGCAAATTAAAAGAGAAGGAACAAGAATGTCAAACTCACAGTCTTGAATAAAGTTGACAAACCAGGATAACGCATTACGCTTATTTCAGTAAACAGGTCAATTAACCGTTGCTGTGGTCTTGTATTTGGTACTCAGTTGTATAAAAATCCTCATAGAGCACGCTTTGACCTATCTGAGTAAACGCAAAAAGCAGAGCGTTTTTGTTTCAGCGATTTAAGAGTAGAACAAAAAATATTTAGTTCTTAACCTTTCGAACATTTTCTGGCCAAAGCAATTCGGGTACAGTGGAACCCCGTTAATACGGACACCAAGGGGACATGCCAAAATGTCCGTATTAACGGGGTGTCCGTATTAACCGGGGTCCTCGGAAAAAAGTCAGGGACACGTGTTTTATCGATACAAACACTAAGGCCGACACTTGTACGGCAACAAAACGTTTTAATTGTACTGTAAATTACAAATCATTAACTGTGTCACTCTCGGTGAAATTTTGC